GCACGCGGCTCCGGAGCCGCAAGTTTCCGAGCCCCTGCCCTAGCCTGTGCGTGGCCCCCACTCTGTGGAGCGTGAAGAGATAATTACGCAATGCAATGCTTTATAACCCCAAACTGAATTATAGCACTCCTCCTGTACTATTAGCGACACTCCACGACGTCCCATGTCCAAATCGCCCCTCTGTTCTTCCGCTGAGCAAGTGATGAACACATTTCCACGTCACCCTGTTGCAGCGGCACCTGTGATGTCCAAGCCGTCAGACGCGCTCCGTGTGTGCCCGCAGCTCGCTGCCCTCTGTGTGTGTGCCCGCAGCTCGCTGCCCTCTGTGTGTGTGTGTGCCCGCAGCTCGCTGCCCTCTGTGTGTGCCCGCAGCTTGCTGCCCTCTGTGTGTGTGTGTGCCCGCAGCTCGCTGCCCTCTGTGTGTGTGTCCGCAGCTCGCTGCCCTCTGTGTGTGTGCCCGCAGCTCGCTGCCCTCTGTGTGTGTGTCCGCAGCTCGCTGCCCTCTGTGTGTGTGCCCGCAGCTCGCTGCCCTCTGTGTGTGCGTGTGCCCGCAGCTCGCTGCCCTCTGTGTGTGTGCCGGCAACTCGCTACCCTCTGTGTGTGTGCGTGTGCCCGCAGCTCGCTGCCCTCTGTGTGTGTGCCCGCAGCTCGCTGCCCTCTGTGTGTGTGCGTGTGCCCGCAGCTCGCTGCCCTTTGTGTGTGTGCCGGCAGCTCGCTGTCCTCTGTGTGTGTGTGCCCGCAGTTCGCTGCCCTCTGTGTGTGTGTGTGCCCGACTCGGGCTCAATAGCCCCGGCGAGTCGCTGCTGAGTGGTTGGCCAAGGGCGTCCGTGGCGGATCAAGAGCGGGACCCCCTCCGCCCCCTCGGTCACTCCCGACTTATATCCGCACTCCGCTATCAACCTCCTCCCTCTTCCCCCTCTCCTGTGTACCCTCACTTCGCTCCTCGACTCTCGCTTCTCCCCCCCCCCCCGCTCTTCCCTTTCGTCTGTTGCTCATCTCTCCTCTCATCTCATAGCGTTTCTTCCCTCACCTCTCCGCTCGTTCCTCTCTCCCCCATCCAACAATCTGTTCCTTCCGCCCCTTCGATTTCTCTCCTTTCCTCCCTCCTCTCCTCTTCACGCCTCTCATCTCATCGCTGAACCTCTTCTCCCTCCTCCGCCCCCACCCTCGAACCTCTCTCTCCAGGGCAGCTGAACCCACAAGCCCCGAGTCGAGTGGCAGCCAAGGGAGGGGACATGGCTGAGAGTCCATACACCGCGGAGACGGAGCGATGGGATCCGCTCGCGTGCAAGGAGCGAGACGGTGCTTTTTCTGGAAGACTTTGCTGTTTTTTTCCTGGATTTTTTCTGTTTTTTTTGCGCGTAGTCACTTTAAGATGTTTTCTTGTTCATGTTTTTGTTTGTTGCGGTTGCGCCCGATTCAAGAGCCGAATGAGGGCTCACAGGGCTATACTTAATAAATTAAACTGAAACTGAAAAAAATGGATCGTCGTTACATCGCAGCACCGCGAGACATGGGGACGGCTTGTGGAGGGCTTCATCCAGCAGTGGAGAGAGCAAGGCTGATGATGAAAATTCTACGCGGCTGGTGTTTATGACGTACATTCCCCCCCTCGTTCTTTGGTTGGAAGCGCTCGACTCAACCTATCATGCCTCTGGGGTCGATACAACTCGGACCATTTTGTGGGAAGTCAACCGCGGTTTGTGTTTTATGGGTTTATTACGTATTTTCATTTTTAATTTATTAGGTATAGAGCCCTTTGAGCCATGCGGCTCTTGAATATGGTGCAACCGCAACAAACAAAAAATGAACAAAAAACATCTTAAAGTGACTACGCGTAAACAGAAAAATCCAGGAAAAAACAGCAAAGTCTTCCAGAAAAAGCACCGTACATCAACGTTGTGTGCAAAAATCCCAGTGGGATGCAAGTCAAACAATAACAACCAAAAGACAATTTAGATTAAAGTTATCAGTCTAACTCTGTACTACAACAAACAAATATGGCTAAACCAAAACGTTTTCGAAATCACCAAAATAAAGCTATAAAAACAATGTAACAGTGATCATAGGAACTGTAATTCAAATTTAACAATAAACGATATACGTAACATGTACGACCAAACTTTGCAGCCATAACTGGCTGCATGAGTCACTCCATAACAGCAGGACTATCAGTAGCAGAATCAACATTTTTCAATGCACCTTTAAGATCAGCACACTATGATCAAAACACAAGATCATACTTTACATATTAATTATTTGCGTGGCATGTTTATAAAGATCTGAATTCGAGCCGAATATTTGTTCCTACCTTAATATTGTGTCCATGAACCATGACCCCCCCCCCCTCTTCTTGAGCCACTTTTCTGGACATCCGTGAAAAAAAAGCTTTATAGCTCATCGGATTCCTCCAGTATAAATACAGTCGGATTCTGAGTTCTCGTCAATGACAAATGTAACGTATCAAGGCTTGCGACGCGCTCACATTGTTACGACGCAACGGAAACGCACAGCACGTTCGTCATTCCACTGCTGGATGAGGAGGACCTCCCCACCCCACGCAGACCGTGGGGGGATGATTTGATCATGCCTCACCACGGTGGTCACTGCGGGATGGTGAAGGCGGGCAGCTTATAAGATTTGGCTGCACTGCCCTCTACTGCGCACAATGAACATAGAGCACCACAACGTTTCTCTATTCCGTATTCACCAGGTTGGAAGGCTCAAGTTGACACAGCTGCGTCTTATACTGGTAGGAACCTCCTGGTTGCACCAGCCCACAGGGGATTATTGTGTCCGTCCGTCCGTCAAGCATCCAAAAATGGGAGGGGTGGGGCTGGGTGGAGAGGGGAGGGTGGGGAGGGGCTGGGTGGGGAGGGGCTGGGTGGGGAGGGTGGGGAGGGGCTGGTCACCCCGTGGTGCCCTTATAAAACTCAACGTTTAACCTACTCACGCGGAACACACCACGTGGTGCCGCCGTTGTTGACCCTGACCATTGACCGAGCAACCCAACGTGCCTACCAGCTCCCTCCGCAGGAATGTGTTAATCGGGTATGGCTGTGCGAGACCAGATTTGTTGAGCCTATTGATACGGTGCCCCAGAGCAGGTTATTACCTGGATACACAACTGTAATTTTACATATTCTTGGTTCTTTCGGTAAAGTCACGTAGATAGAAAAAAAAACAAAAAATAATTTTACACTGACAGACCTCTGCCCTTTTATAGGGGGGGGGGGGGGGGTAGTGACCTGGCTAGCCCCTCCTTCTCTCAGCCCCGCCCCTCCATCTCTCAGCCCGCCCCTCTCCCTCAGCCCCGCCCTCCCTATCTCAGCCCCTGAGCCCCGCCCGTTTGTTTTCCCAGCTCCGCCCACTAAGTCACTAGCCACGCCCCTCAGTGGCTTCCCCGATTCTCTTTCGCTCCTTAGCCCTGCCTCGCTTCCCACGTAGCCCCCGCCCACCCGCCAAGACATCCCCGCCCCACTCCCACCCAGGTGAGCCACTCCCACCGCTCGGGTAACCACTCCCACGACTACGCAGGTAGCTCCGCCGTTTTTTCCCGTGTCATGGATTGAGCACGAGACCACCACAATTTAAACGAGCCAGGTTTGATAGCTGTAACGTGCAGTGCAAGCGGTCAGGTCTATTTTTCTGTCTCTGAGTATTTGCCCCCCCATCGATGTCCTGTGGATGCAACCTTGGCTATGAGGTTGCTGTGAGCCCTGCCGAAACTATCCAAAGCCGCATCATGAGGCCTCCTTTTGCCAGTACCAAAATACCATATTATTCGCCACAGCCGGTTTAACCGGTCCCTGGGGCAAACAGCCCCACCAAACGATGCACAACCCCACACAAAGACCCGATATATGACACAGTTCAAACTCAAATCGCGGTTTAATGTAAACAGAAAACAAACATCAACACATTCACCAGAGACACCAACAATAGCAGCAATCGCCGTTCACCACTAAGCGGCGGTGGATGCCACCACAGCGCTTGTGGCAGGCTAGGTGCACCTTGAGACCACGTGAGGTTGTCGAGAAATCGCCGACTTTAGGTCCACTGGGTAGACTCAGGTGGCTAGGAGATGTTAACTACCTCGCCTGATATGCAGGAGGTCCTGGGTTCGATCCCAACCCTGACGCCTGCTGTATATTTGGAGTTTGTGTGTCTCTCCCCGTGGCCGCGTGGATTTTTCTCCGGGTAGTCCGGGTTTCCCCTCCACATTTAGAATCATCATCACGCGTTCACAGTGTTTGGCTGCTGATGTGAAACATTTCCACGTGGTGAGCCACTTCGTAGAGCTCTCATGTGCGGCCAGGTCTCTTCTAAAAGCTGATAACTCAGTGGAACTTACCTGGTAAAAAAAAATAGAAAGTTGAGTTAAGGGTTGACGGGACTGGAAACACTGGGCAGACGCACCACCTCCGCTCCCCACTGTGGCACCGGAGTGGCAGACCAAGGACGGAAAATACTTTAGAGTGGTGGCCGTCCACGGCAGAGGTGCTTTTTATTCGACGCGTGTGTGGCGATGGCGCAGCCATCGATCGAGGGTCGAATTCGAACCGCGTTGTGTGATCGGCATCGCGCTCGCTGAAGTCGTGGACTCTATACGCAAATGCGCACAATTCTGTGAGTCACTTACAACTACTTTGTCGTTACTTATTGCCAATTATGGACTCAGACTATTGTCCTATCATCTCATAATATGCTACACAGTGGCAGTGGGGGTCGCAAAATGCCGATTTATTACCAATAAACCCCAATGATCCGATCGAAATGAGGGATTTCGATAGGATCATTGGAGGGGGCACGAGCCCCCCCCCCCCCTCCCACTGGCTCCGCCAGTGATTGCATTCCCCCTAGACCGTAAGAGAGATTGCGACGGTCTGGCGAGGTCTCCATACAGCAGCTGCTGATCATGGCTGAATATGATCATTAGCAGAAACTATACCGAATACCATTAAACAGACACAAAGAACTCGCCAAACACGATTCAAACGTAATGCTTTTTTTTGTCCTTTTATTGATTTATTATTCCAGGTTTGTCTAATTATCAGGTGACCGATAAACGTAACGACAGTCATGAAGTAGGTGTTACTCGATAACAACAAAAAATGTTTCATCGCATGTAATTTTTTTTTACAGTTTTGAGCAGCAAGCATCTACACTATAAGACTTTAGTAAAAGGAGGAGGGGGTAACTCCAGAGAAGGGAGAAACTGGGGGGGAGCGGAAGGGGCCCTGCCACAAACACAACTCCACTCTCACCGAGACCCCCCACGACCACGTACGGAGTCAGACTCCCATCCCCGATCCCCACAAGCAGCAGGGCAGTGACACCGCAAGACACCGGAACCCTGTGAAATTCCGATTGCACCCTTGCTGTGGTATCAAGGGGCTCTTCGGTAAAGGAGCCTCGGTGTGGGATGCGGGCGGACAAATCTCCACTGACCCTATAAGCCACACGTAGGCATCTTCCTCTGGCCGAGGGCCGCGACTTTGCGCGCGTATTCTCTCGTGCTGAAGCTCGAGCCGGCTGGTTGGGCCGTGAAGTTCTGAATTAAGAATCCGCAGGAGCAACACCGCCAGGGTGTTCAAGGATGGTTCCGCTGCCGGGGGGGGGACGAGTTAGCGCCCGTACAAGCCGGTCCCGCAGAACATTTTTTTCCCCCCCGTTTAAAATGAAAATGATTTATTAAAATGTAAAAATAAAGTACGTATCCGCGCCTCCTTCGAGCTGCCTGGGAAGACTCCGCTTGGCTCGCGAGCCGCGGTTTGGCCACCCCGTGACCTCTAAATACCCAGCTCTTTCAGGGGGTCAGTGGGGTGCGCAGGTATCCCCATTTGATTAACAAAAACCCTCCATTATTTCCATTGAGACCAAATTATCCCAGTTTACATAATTATATTTTGATATAAGGAATATAAATTCCGGAGCGCGCAGTCCAGTCAGTGCTGCGGTCATTGCCGCAGAGTTTCAGTGCCAAACTGCGACTGCACTGGCCACGTGACATTTCCACGCTGTTTGGAGACGCCACCGGCAAACACCTCGGCCGTGCTTGGCACGATTTCCACTTCTGGGCTTCCGACAGTGTGATTTTTAATGTTCATTTTTTAATATATATTTCGCACGCCAGGACGTGGCACAAGCCCACGCTATACCACCGTACCAGCAAGTCGTTCCCGGATGACGATCCTCGAATCCACCGGGGGGGGGGGCAGCATCACGAAGGCAGGTCCCATGGCAATGCCACTACAGGCACGGCGCAGCTCTCCCGGCCTTTACCAAATCCGTCCGGCGCGGGCAACGTGCGCAGCAAATGTCGTGATTTGCATTTGCAAAAGATTGGGGGCAAACGGAGAAAGGCGGGAGCGTGGTGGGATGAACACCGCAGCCGAGTGGAACCCTGGTAGCGTTGCTCTAACAGAGTCTAACCCTACACACACGAGCGCGCACTACCGGGACACCGAATGGCTTAACCCCGCGCGTGCAAAAATATTGTATGGCTGCATTCCACAAACCAGACTGGCTTCCTTTTAACATTTCGGAGCGGTTTCACCGGGCGGGAGTTTTTTTTTTTTAAATTCACCGATGTCACTGCCGAACTTCAAAACACCCCCCCCCCCCACATCACTCCCCCCCCCCCCAGCCAAAAGGTTTAGAACAAAATACAGGCAACTCTCGATTATCCAGGAGTTAAGAGGCGGGGGAGGAGAAGGGGTGGGGGCGAGAGATGGCCTGGATAAAGCAAACACACGGATAATTCAAAACATGTATATTAGGCTGGAAAAAACATATGCATTGTTGATCCATGTACACAAATTGTTGCCCCGTTTGCATCGTTTCTTACTCGGTGTGTGCTCGCCAGCTTGTGTGTGGTCACGTCGGGGCGCTGCTTCACTGACCCTCGAGCAGTGGAGGAGGAGCTGCTTCGGCGATTTAAGCCGGCGTGCAAGTTAGAGGTGAGCGAATACGGAACCGCGGATCATCGTCACCCCACGGACAATCGAGGGTTAATTGAATGTTCGCTTGAGGAGGGGAGGCGTGGCCACTGTGCTCCGGCAGTTTTGCATTCAGAAACAGCGTTTTTATTTCACGAATCTCTACCACCATCGTTCGCGGCTCGCTCCAATCAGCTCGCCGGGCAGCAAATAAGCCAACGTCATCTCCACGACACAGGATAAGGAACGCATCGTAGTGGTGATGAAAACGGGGCGGCGATTATAACCCTCGTACATCTCTTAAAGATATTTTTGTTGCCGTTGCAAACATTCGGGATGGAGGTAATGTTTGGGATGAGTTAACAGAGACGGCGAGGGGGGGTCGGGAGAGTCGGTGAGCACCTCCCACGTGGAGCGAAGGGCCGCGTTGACCTGTACATCGCGCTAGTTCGCGTGTGTGGGGGGGGGGGGGGGGGATAGGGGGGTCGTTGTGTTCCCGTGTTTTGTTGGTCGGGGTTTTTTTTATTTACGAGACGGGCAATAAACACGACACGAGTCATCACGTCGCAACCACGACGGTACACGCAAGGTGAATATAAACACGCAGGGAAGAGCAACGGGGAACAAAAAAAAAACAGGACAACGAAATAAGACACGTTATTTACATCAGTCAACGCACCGCCAATAAACCAAAAAACGAGGAACAATTTACTGCGACGGGTTTCCCCGTCCGCTCTTATCATACAACGTGTTCTGGCCATGAGGTTTTCGTTTAAAATATGTAAAAGTGTGAACCAAATCGCGCGCTGACCAAACGAACCCCCAAAACAAATATTCGAGAAAAAAAGGGATGAGTTAGAGGTAAATGGGGGGGGGGGGGGCGCTCTCTATCGCTGACACTTCTTATGTATAATATTTACACGTTTTCTTTGACATTTCTGTGTGTGTGTGCGTTCGAAGTCTGTACGACGCTGTTGCTATTGTGACACGCCTCGCGCAGCCTTTCGCCGTGGCTGGGGGAGGAGGGGGGGGGTAAAACGTTGCCCCCCATCCGTGACCCCCCAAAAAAAGGACGGACACGCAAGGGGCGGGCGAATGTTTTTTTTTGATTCTCGAACCCTGCGTGAGAAACGAATCTCGCTCTTGGTTTTTGTTTGTTAGTAGAACCGCAGTCGCGCAAGATGCGTGGTGTCAACGGAAGCAAAACGAAATGCCGTTAATGTCTTGGCGCCGTCCTCTTGTCTCGAAGCGGATAATCGTCGTCTCTACCACCGAGAGTCACGGGGTGGAGGGGCTGATGTTGTCATTTTATAGCGTTGATGATGGTGGTTAAATGGCATTTAGGCCATTGCGTTTCAAGTCAAATACAAGTAATTCTCGTTTGCCAAATAAAATACACTCCCCCGCGACCATTCCTATGACAGAATGTTTACATATCGTGAACGCGTTAATAATGCAACAATGAAATGCGGGTGCTGGTGCAGACACCGCCGCGTGACTCTGTCTCTCGCACGTGCAACTCCCGATTATCACGGCAGGCTACGTGCGGTGGTGCGAGACGAGTTCAACATACATAATAATAAACCCAACCCCACCAAATCTTCCACGAATTTTATTTCAAACATAATTTTTTTTTTATCCCCCGGGTGCGAATCAGCGTCATGTACCAAACTCGCCACCCCCCCCTCCCGCCTCGACAACCCCACCCCCCTTCCCCCAGCCGTTCCTTAGCTCACACTGCCATTAGCCAATTTCGTCGCAGACGCCGCCGCCGCCGCCGCTGCCACTCTGCTGAGATGTCTCTCGAACGCGTGACATCGCGGTGCCCCTCGGACCTGGCAGACCTCTCTGCAGGAGTGCAGCGCGCGCGGGGGGCGGGGTTGTGAAGAGGTTTGTGAGTGGCCGGTGATTTCAATCAGACGACTGAACCCCAATTGTGCCGCCGATCTCCATCCATTACAGTCGCACGAAGACAATCTTGTGGTTCCCAGAGTCGATCTGCACGTTTCCGTCTACGGGGCAGGAAGCGTGCGTGGGTGGCATCGGTGTGGAATTCAAATGAAGCATGGGGGGGTGGGCGCCACCACACATTGGCAGGAGGCCGCTAACACTGGCGATTTGTAATATCATCTGTTTAGGAGGGGGGGGGGGGGTTCTCTCTCCTCTCCCGGATCGCGTTTTATTAAAATTGTTTGTCAAAAGTGGCGAATTCATAAATCCTCGTGTCAGTTTAACTTTTTGAGATTGGTTTCCAAAATAAAAACAAATCATCCGGGTTCACTTTCTCATCATTCGTATCCGCGAAATTTGACGTGGGTTCACTTTCAATCGTAACGTTTTTGTAACGACCGTTTTGTTTTAACTACGGTCTTACGTTACTTTTAAATGCGCCCGATACATCTTTTTCATTATTATTATCGATTTCCCACGGGAGAACCTGAAGTGGCGACACATTTGTTGGTTCTTTCAAGAAAATACCGGCATGTTCACACGCGTTACCGAGACGCGGCTCGAATCCGGACGCAACAAGCAACAGTTTTCGATCAACTGCCCCAGGACAATTCAAACGCGAATCCCAGAGTTAAATGGGGGGGGGGGGGACTACCCCCAACCCCCGCCCTCTTCCCCCCCTCCCGCACAATCAATGTTAAAGTCGCAATAACTTCACGCTGTACACCACTCGTACATAAATGTTACACACCGTGACACGCATGTAAGAATGCTTCAAAATAATGTTCAGGTATGTTGAATAATAACAATAGCCATCATTAAACACCAACCCCACCCCCCCCGCACACCCTTTGCTTATTATTTGACAATGGGATTACCCCACAGCTGCTTGCCCCCTCCAAAATCCGCAATGGTTCCACCCACCCACCCCTCACCGTACACCTTGATCGAGGTCAAGTCAAGTGGATTATAGGAGGGTGAAGTTGTCAACCTTGCTCAGGAAGGCAAAACGCATTACTAGTTCCGCTTAGCGGCTGAGCAGAGGTCGGCGTTAAGCGTCCGAGCCAGGGCAAGCTCCAGCTGTCCTCGTACACATTTTTTTTTATTAACGCGGGTTTGTTAGCCTCTTACCGACGTAATCCGTACACGCCTTCAAACGTGCTCTTGGTGAGAAGCTGCGATGGACGAAGTGTCCGAACGTGGGCTCGCAATGAAGCGAGCAGCACGGCTGGAAGGCTGGGAAGGTCAAGAAGGGGGCGACTTGGTTTGGCGCAAGAAGCAACACAAACCACCCTCCTCCCATAACCCCACTGGAACCGCACACGCCATACGTGCACGCGTCGGAATCGTCACACGAGTGCACACGTTCAAACGAAATGTGTACTCCCGTAGCACCAGCGTCTGGCACCACGGGCTGCCACGCTGGTGTCGTCAAGATGACTACACGGGTGACCAGCAGAGGCTTTCGACGTTCGCCGCACCTTTTCTGCATCGCTTTGCTTTTTTTCCTTGTCTGTGCACGCGTTCTTGCCGAGATGTAGGTCTGCGAGTCTCGACGGTTCGCCAACGGCCGAGCCGCCAGAGAACATTTTAATTTCTAACGCAACGACGAGTCAAATGACCGAGAACGTCATTTTACACGCCCCAGACACCCAACTCCACCCCTGCCGCAAATTAATTTGCTTTATTTAGTCACCTTTGGCACTGCATTACACACCGCAAGCAGCCACTGGCAGTGCCGTGGATTTAATGTACAGTAGTTGATTATATATACTTATTAATAACAACAATATTCGTAGCAATGACAAGAGGCCATTTAAATAGACGGGCCACGTGGCCACCAGACGCCCTGGTGAGGTGGCTGAGGGACCACAGTGGTTGGGATGGCAATGAGCGACCTCTTCCCCCCCCATCACCCCAACTTCTGTACGACCTCTGACCCCTCTCGCTCCACTGCACACAGCAGCGTCCACCGTAGTTACAACTCAAAAGACGACGACGATGACAACGGTGACGACACAAACAATGGAACGACAAAAACTACAAAACCTGTAAAAGACGTTCGTAAAAAAACGCCCCTCCCGCTCCGCGTTAAGAAGTCACGCTTCGGATCTCGCGGTGGGTTAAGATGCGTTCCAGGGTTACGGGGTCAGATGGCAGAAGAGGGAGGGAGGTCCTCCCCTACCCCCCCCCCCAGAAGGGTAGACGCAGACCGGTGGCCACTCATCTCGTGTTCATTGTAAACATAGAGTGCGGATGTCTTGCCGCTAGGGGACAGTGGTGGCAGCTGTTACTGCTACTGCCGCCACTGATCATGAGTCCCAGTGGGCAAGGGGCCTGGGGGGGGGGGGGTGTTGCGGGGAATAGGGGGGGGCATGTGGCAGAATGGGGGGAATCAACCTGAGGCATCGGTCGCCAGGGCTCCGATCGCTCCTCCGTCTAAATGAGCAACGGGGGATCTCGCGCATCATCCACGGCTCGCGTGCACAGCAACGATCCGAAGTCAGTCTTGAATTAAAAACAACAAAAAAAGCAAGTAACAACCTAGCCCCTACCTCGCTCACCACCACCCTTCCTCCCCATGACCCAAACCAAAACACACAAAACGACGAACCCTGAACTTCACAACGGCTGGGGGCTTGTGTGACACACAGATGGCGCCGTGCATGCGACGGTGCAGTGGCGGTCGAATTGGAGAAGCCACAAGGGTGGCCACGAACGCTCCGTGATCGACGGTGCCCGGACAGGGGCAGGGGGGCGTCGGTCAAAGTGGGGTCCCTTTTTTTCCATTCTTATTTCGCGTGAAAAAAAAAATAACAACGAAGCAATAAATAGAAACGATAAAAAAAAACAGAACGACTGGTGGAAGGAAATACAAACGGTACAAAATAAACTGGAAAACGTAACTAAACAGAACTTCCAAACCAATGGGTTGTGCACTTCAGTTATGGTCCGAAGGAGCTCGAGGTTTGGTTGGGGATTGTGGGTGTGTGGGGGAGTAAGTGGACAAATTAATTCAGCACGTCTTTCTTGACCAATGCCACCAGCCCGTGGTGTATGGGCTAGCGGGCGGGCTAGCGGGCGGGCTAGCGGGCGGGCACCGCTGGAGGGGAGACAGTCCAGGCCTTGGGCGCTGTGTACGTGCTGACGTTCGGGGGCTCCGGGTTGGGCAGGGCGATGGCCGGCGCTGGCAGAATTCCGGGACGGGGTACGCGCAGCTCCCATCATACGTCGAGAAATTTGGAGCCGCCGTTCTTGGCTTGGAAGGGCTCGGACCACATGCGTCGCAAGTCGCCCTGGACAGCAAACAGCGACGCGCAAGCGCGGATGGGAGTTAGGTGCTGCACATGAGCATCGTGTCATTGTTGATTAAAAAATGTTTTTAAACAAAGTGAGATTTCTGTACTGTAACGTTACTTTTCCGCACGCCAGCCAATCACCTTGCAAAAGATCTCGTGCGCCAACGTGCTCTCAAATTGGCAACGAGCGGAAGTTCACGTACGTGTTGTGTGGGAACGGAACATTCCTTCCGCTGCTCTTGACATTTAACAGAAAACAGGGGGGGGGGGTGTGTGGTGGTGTGGGGGGCCCGGGCAAGATGACCGAGCGGAAATTACCCCTCAAGTCACTTCGCAGAAGCCGCTCGCCAGAAACGCTCGGCGGTGGTGCTACTGTGTCCGAGCGGGAAAGCTTTTTCAAGATAAAGAGGGCAAATTGCAATGGGGGGGGGGGAGGTTCATGTCAGGTGGGCATGGGGGTATCCAAGGGGGGGAGGGGGGGCGGCGTCAAAGGGGGGGATGGAATTTCACTTGGGCCCTGCACGAGTTGGAGAGAGACTGTTACCATCCCCCCACCGGTATTCCCAGGGCCCCATGCCTCCCAGAGCTGAAATGTGCTACATTAACCCTTCCCCAATTCCCGACGACGTACGGGGACATCATCAGTTCCCTCTTCCGATTTCGTTCAATCGGAATAAAAAAATAAAACAACTTCATCGGTACGCCTTCAGGGTCGGATGACGTACCGAAGATCCCACAAGGCCGTGCGGGAGGGGCGTGGCACAGTTTGGCGCCAGCTATCGCAGAGTGCAGCAAGCCTTCGACACTTGACGTAGCCTCAAAGTGCCGCCATGGTAACGTCGCCAACAACAACAACAGCAGCTGTTGCTGTTGTTGTTGCGCGTGCGTTGTTGCGCGTGCGTTGTTGTTGCGCGTGCGTTGTTGTTGGACGTGCATTGTTGTTGCGCGTGCGTTGTTGTTGCGTGTGCATCCAGAGTGAGAGCGGTCACCTTGAGATAGGCCATCGTGAGCAGCGGCAGCAGCGTGAAGGGCACCAGGTAGAGCAGCGCGGGCTGAGCGGCCCGGTGGATGCGGGACGCGATGGTGGCCGTCAGGAGACCTGAACACCACCCCCCCACCACCAACCCAGCCACGCACACAGAGGCCACCGGACACGCACGCACACCGAGACAATGATCCGACTATTGAGAGGGCCGTCCCCTGGAAAAACACACCCAATCGCCCACGTGTGTGCAAGTGGTAAGGAGCGGTAGTGTCGCGGTCAGTGCACTACGCTACGAACCCGATCACCCGAGTTGGATTCCCGCTGAAAACCAATAATAGTGGCGAATATTCTAACCGGTCCTGGGCCTCGACTCAAACTCTAATGAGTACCTGGTGCGGTGTGTAAACATTGCCACTAGGGAGACAAAGGCGGTCGGGCATGGTGCCGGACACCCACTCCCTGGTGTGCCGTGCCGGCCTTCATTAGGTACCCGCTAACAGCACTTGCCCCAACAGTCTGTTAAGCGCCGCTGGCGCTCCCCAACGTGCAATGCGGCCGGTGGTGGTTTGCCGAACGGCGCGTCAGGACACAGAGGGCTCGCGATTGGTGGTGCGATGCCGTGACTCGCCCGGCTCGGCCAATGGGCGCGCGCGTCGAGTGCGCCAACGGAGAGTTTGCGGGAAGGTAATGGCGTGGCTGCCTCTCGATTGGCTGGAATCCGACGCGCCCACCCAACCGCTCAGCGAGGCAGCTCCCTTGAGACCGTTAGCCGATGGCGCGATGCGCTCCGGGCTAGACTGGCCTGTCAATGGAAAGGCGCTCCCCCGAGGCGCTCTGGAGCACTGCTCATCGAACGCAAGCCCGCACAGCATGCTAAGTGTGTGTTTGGGAGTAATCACTAAGACAGAGAGAGAGGGTTGAGTAAAACATTTTGGACAGAACAGTGACCACCGATTATGCCCGTCGTTAAAGCCAAGTAAATCTGGCGGGAGACGGGCAGCACAGGTCATGGAACGCGACTGACGAGAGATGGGAGACGACTTCACAGCGGAGAGGAGACCGAGGTAAGAGAAGCAGGGAGGAAGACAGCGGGAAACACCGTAGCAGCGAAACGCCATCGCAGAGTTCAGAAGCCGCGAATGAACATGAGCAACTGGGGGAAAGAAGAGCGATGGGGGAGACAACCAGCAGTTGGAAGTTTCAGGCTGGAAACAACAGCAGCAGCAGCAGCAGCAAGAGCACCAGCGGCAGCATCCACTGTTGGCTTCGAGCGGCGTTACCGATGAAGTATCCGATGAGGGTGCAGTGGAAGTAGGAGACGCGCTGCATGCGGCTGGGGAACGCTGCGTCTGGGTCCACGCCGTTCGCCTGCTTCTTGTAGTTGTCGTAGCGCAGCACGAAGCACAGCAGCAGCCCGGGCATCACGATGTCGCCGATGCCCAGCATGGAGAAGTGGCTTCCGCTCGAACTGAGCACGCACACCCACGGAGATGCCACGTGAAGAAAACTGAACTATTTTTTTTATTTTACCAGGTAAGGCCCACTGAGCTGCATGGCTATTTTTCAAAAGCGACCTGGCTATCACAAATTATCGTTCAACGAAGTGGCTTATCGTGTATAAATTTGTAGCACCCAAACACTCTTAATGTATGTTGATTCTAAATGTGGGGGGAAAAACCCAGAGGATACGGATACAAATCCACACGATCACGGGGAGAGAGAATGCAAACTCCAAAATACAGAGGCATCAGAATCCGAATCGAACCCACGACCTCCTGTATACCAGGTGAGGTAGTTAACATCTCGCCACCATAGCGCCCAAGTCTTATCGACTGCTGAGAGCCGGCACTGCTTAGGTGTTTGGTTCGAATCCAGATTCAAGTCGCCTATGATTTACCAGGGTTGTGAAGCGTGGTGCGTTAATGGTTTCGGCTCGGTCGTCATTGACTACAATTAACCCCCCTTATTACATTGCATTAGCTACTGCACTTAATTTGACTGAATTTCAGGCCCAAGGATTAAAATATCAGGTCGAATGTACCGCGACGAGCATTACTCTCAGGCAGAGTTGGCGGGAAATAGCCGCCTCGCTCTACATGAACCGGAGGTCACGTGAACGGATCTCAGAAGCGGCTCTGTGGTATTCCACTGCAGGGGGCTTTCGTCAAACACTAAAGGGGTCGCGTGCGTTGCTCTGCGGGAGCGATCTGAACAGATTCTTTGTCTCGTGGCAGGGCAAGAATATTCTCAACAAAAAAACGAATTAAACTTGCGTCCAATTTCAATATATCAATCCGCGTTGCCCATCCATGCTGCTCCCCCCAACCACCCCCCCCCCTCCCCACAACCACCCCCCCCACCTCCCTGCCCCCCACCTGGGGAAGACGAGCTTTCCGGGCAGCGAGAGGCGGGGGCCGTCGCGCCCCCCCTGCGGGAAGTGCAGCTTGCGCGACAGCACGTCGATGGGGTTGTCGGCCGGCTGCGTGGCCACCTTCACCATCACGTTGCTGCTGAAGATGTATGCGGAGAAGAACACCTGCTCGCACGCGCACACACACACACACAAGACAAAGATCCCCCATTATAGCCTTCACGGACTGTTGGGGCCAGTGCTGTTAGTGGAGTAGCGCCAACGAAGGCCGGCACGGTGCAGCGCCACGCTCGACCGCCTTTGTCTACCGAGTGGCGATGTTTACACCGAGTGGCGATGTTTACACACCGCACCGGGTACTCCAACTCGGGTTGCTGGGTTTGTAGCGACTCGTGTGCACAGGCACACGAGTCGCTATGTCACTGAATTGGGACTATACGTAGCAATCATCGCCCCTTACTACTGGCAAAACTAATGCCTCAGAGGTCACCCTTAGCAAATAACCCTGTTTCGGAGTTCCCGCCTCGTTAAACTACGTCGTTCCTCGGGTTCATGTTTCACGATATATACATTACATTATTATATTTCACGGTGTGACGATTGTCGCGATATCAGCTGCACGGCCAACTTTCGCCGAAACGCGCCACTACTGAAAGAGGCGAGCAGTGGCGACAATTAACAGACCTCAACCAATCACGAAAAATAGCGATAACGCCTCGTCGGTAGCGGTGCACCAACACAAAAAAAAAAATACAACGGAGACAATCGACGGGTGTACGGTGGCGTGCTCGCGAGGACACGCGAGGGCCGTACCCAGAAGACGTCGTAGATGAGCAGGCCGGAGAGCAGCAGGCAGGACACCTTGAGGCTGGGCAGTCGCACGAACGCGATCATCGCGACGCACAGGCCCATCGCTAGCGCTGCGCACGCAGACGCACGGGCGCGAAGGGAAGAGGCACTCGCATCACCCCCGACTCTCATATGGCAGGGCTGCCATAAAAGCTCGCATGCTGTGCGAAGGTTTATGTTACCATGAAGAGACATGATGGCAGATTTCTTTTTACACACCTCCCCCGTGTTTACGGTGTGTTGTTTAAAATAACGTTTTGTATCTTTTTGGAAATGACACTTTCACACAGGGTGGAGCGCGTGGTGCAGTTGTTCCCGTAGTGCGCTATGAATCCCGTGCTTTGTGTTTCAACTCCTCCTGGCTAGGGCGATCATCAGTGGCGAGTGATATCAGAACGGGTCCCGGATTGCACCCCACCTATACTAACCCACACTGACCAGCATGGTCAAGTATATGGTCAAATAACCCACACGACTCTATGCTGTGTTACCACTACGATTTGCTGTTCATAGTGTAGATTACCCTAATGATTGTACATCAGTGTCCATTATTATCATAATGATTGTGCACAGTGTTAATTATTACATTATTATTGGATATCACAGTGAGCGTAGATTACCACCATGATCAACTATCTTAAGTCTTAAAAGATTGGACATCACACTCTTCTACCGCATCCCCTCAACTCTCTCTTCTCTCCAGTTAATTTTAGCCACAACTCCGACTGTCCCGGGAGACGTGCGTGGCTCGTGAGCTACCGTATGGCCGCCCCTGGAAACCGACATCACCCTTTTCTGCCGCTCGTCAGGCTTAGCAGAATCGCCGCGGAAATTCTACTTTCAGGAAAAAACTCATTTTCGAGCCTGAGCGCGGGTGGGTAAGGAGAGGGCCGGGCGAATGGGAGAAGCGATTTGGTGCCATTCCACGCCCTTCATGAAACGGTAGGTCTCACGGCGTTGTCAGTGGACTTTCAACGGCGTGTTGCATGTGTTCTTCACAAGTTATGTTTTTAATGGGCTCCCATTCACGGAGTTCACCCGGCCCTGATCTGGTATCACGAAACAGGCGGCTGCCACCACTGTCGGAGTGGTGCGCGTCATTAACATCAGCATCGTCACCAGCAGCAGCTTTTATAGAATCTTTATCGTCACAAGCAGCTGTAGTAACAGCATTATCAACATCATTTATTCCTAGCAGCGGCTTTTGTCTAGACATCGAACAAAGACGATCACTGCATTGTGCGCTTTCAGACGCGCTTCTGTGGCTGTCTGGAATGCTCTTCCTTCCGATATTTGGAAGCCACTGGAGATATGCACTTCTACATCTAAATTGAAAACTATTTTTTTTGGAACTGCTTTTTATGTTTAGTCTGTTGTCCTTCCAACGCCCCTTCTGTTTAGCATGGTCGGCTAGGTATTGTGCGAAAGAAGTTCAACATACATACAAACATCATCATCAGCAGAAGCATTTGTATTAGGTTCATGGCCAAAATCATAATCTCCACCGTGAGGCCATTCGCCTCTAGCAGGGAGCGCGGTGCGAGAGAGTTCCCAACGGCCTCTCCGTCTCTTGAGAGCGGGAAACGATACCGACAGCACATGAGAATAACTGCAAGCGGCGCACGAAGATCAATACCGTCCATGAGCAACCAGTGTCCGGTGAGCACCCAGATGAGGACGAGGGCGATGGAGAGCGAGAACGAGAGCAGCTCGGCCGTTGTGAAGCGACCGCAGCAGCCAAACGAGATCCTGCGGGGGGGGGGGGGGGGGGGGTGGGGGGCAACGCACGGAAGACAACGCGCGGATCAAATCGGATCCAACTCCCGGCAAGCGAGACAACTCAGCTCCGCACGCCAACCCATCTCATCACAACCCAGCGGCGTAGCCCATCGAGTGTGCAGGCTGTGCAACTGCACCGGGGCCCAAGGGCAGGAGGGGCTGAGACACCGGGGCTATGAGCAGTGGGGGACATTGGATTAATGGGGGAAGCGGAGGAGGGGGGGGGGGGTCCCATTCAAGTCCTTGCAGCAGGGCCCATGCCAACCACGCTACGCCACTGTCCTTCACTGACCGAGTGATACAGCGGCCACATCAAACAGAAGCCCGGTGGAAGTCTCAAGGTTCTTGTTCAGCAGGATTCTGCATTGGGATGTTTAGCACGTTCATCGATGGGGATGTTTATGTGAAGGGAAGGGAGAATGCCCCAAGAAATTTCACAGTGATGCACACTGCCTTGCCTGCTGCTGTACTGCCAAATCGCTTTTCGACATGTTGAGCGCCTCCCACACATGACAAGAGTTTGCACGTTACACGCCCATTCCACTTATCACAGTGCGGGATTACAGGCAAACGCCACCACCGGCACCACGGCTGGCTTTGCTGCCGATATCCGTCGACCGCTAATAACGCTGCGACTTGCGCGCAAACACTCGCATACACCTGCGATTACTTACCGTGTCAACATCATTGTTTTACATTTTCCGCAAAAATGTTGTTTTACTCAACATATGCTTTCAATTTAGAGAGCCACTAGCTTTCTTTGCATTCATTCGAGTAGGAATTCCGGACTGAGCTAAGCCCAGGATTTAACGTCTCCTTGGCGGGCCGACCTTGAAGAGGCGACAGCTGGTATCAGCGGCGCGGGGTCCCGCATACCGATCTGCGTGCGACGCCTCCCCTGACCCATCGCGAGTGCTCCAGTCATCATCATCAGCAGCAGCAGCATCAGCCATGACCAGTGATGCACTGGCGGATTAAGGCCTCATCTAGCCGTTGCTATCGCTCACGATGCTGCGAAATAACGATCCACAGGGCATCTGTGCACGAGCCGATTTCATTGCTCCATCTCTCTGGTGGATGTTGCTCTGGGACTCGTTCTCTCCTTTGGTGGCCACTCCATTACTCTTCTGCCATCGTCTCCTCCAGCGACGTAGTCGCACTCGAGTCCGCTCGCTTTTGTTAACCGCTCGCAGATTAATTTTCCTGCGTATGTCATCGAATCCATTCATTCCTCTTTCTATCTATGAATGTGCATCTCTCTATGCGCAGTCAAGTCAAAGAATTTTGGCAAGACACTGCAAAGCCATAATTGCCTCTCTCCACGCTTCTTTGCGCAGTTTTCATACATTTTTTTTTTATTGTAAAAGACCGTGTTTCTGAACGATGTGCACGTCCCAGCGGGAAGTACGAAATGATTAAGAACTCTTCGCTCGAGGCCACATTGGTATGCGTTGCTGGCGCACAAGTGTGCGAGCTCCAGCACGCTCGATGAAAAACGGCCTCCTGTAAACGCAGGTCTCAACGGTTTTCAGACAGAAATCTCAAGCAGAGCGAAAAGCGGCCGGGCCACAAGAGAGCCACTCGAGTGCATCGATAAAACTCGCCTTTGTATTTGGCAGAAAAGTGACATCTGAAATTACTTCTATACAGCGCGCACGTTGGCCAGGTGGAAAAACGGGCTTCAGAGTACGGCTCGCGAGTGAACAGGGTGCCAGTTCCAAGATTCCATGATCCATCATCCCTCCCCGGAGTCAGTAAAATGAGTACCCTTTAGTGCAGCGTCAACAGCGGCCATCCTTATCGAGGCCTGCGACCATACCATGCCAGAAATCTCTCCTGATCGTGTCAGATCTGGGATGCTACGTAAGGAGGAGCGCGCCAATCCAGAATAGTGCGTGGACGAGGGAGCGAGCAATTTCAGGGCTGCGCGTTCACCGTTACCTTTCGCAATCTCCACCGGCTACTCGCAGCATGTCATCCCCTTACACGAGGGCACGCGCGCGCACACACTAATCCTGAATCAAACCGCATCCACCGAAATCGCACATCTCATGCGTAGAGTAATCCGCCCGGCATGAATTAACTGAACAACACACCCCATGTGGATCTTTTTGACCGCTGAAAAATATCGGAAATGTATTTTTTTTTTAAGAACCATGTAATCTTTTTTTTTTGTTAAGGGATGATGGGAGATTTGTTTTGACCAGCAGCTGTGCTGGGCTGCTGCCAAGGCTGTGTGAATCATCACGCCTGATGCTTTCGAGTCTTAGCCAGATCCACGGGATTACTAGGAGGAGGCAAATGTGGGGTGGAGAGTGGGTGCAGGAAACCATAGCATGCAGTGAGGGTGTGAGTTAGTCTATGGCGAGAGGTCTTCTTAGATGGCTCGCGAACAGCACTTGCCCCAACGGTCTTAAGGCTATACGGGGATCTTTTGTCTTTGGCGGCGAGTGGTCGTGTAACGAGTGGTCGTGTAACGGCGATCCAGGTTCGACTCCTGCTCATAGCCAACACCAGTGACGATTATCTGAACCAGTCCTCGGCCTCCCCTAGGTCGACTCGACCTCAAATGAGTACCTGGTGCGAGGTGTAAAAACATTGCCACTGGGGAGACAAAGGTGGCTGGGCATGGTGCTGGCCACCCATCCCCTCGTGTGCAGTCTCGTCCTTCATAGGTGCTCACGAACAGCACTTTCCCCAAAAGACTGTTACAGGCGATACGGGGGGGGGGGTGGTCGTTGTTGTGTAGCGAGAGACGATTGGTAAAAGGCGCAGCCCTGCAGTTGCTTGCCCGTGCCACCGCTGGTGGAAGAGCCTCTACTAAAGGGAGCTCTAGAGAGCCACTCGAGACGACGTTTTGGCCTACTCCTCCATGGAGGCCAGGCGTCTTCCAAGAGACGGGAGTACCACCTGTCGATTGACTCACCATGATGCACCCATTCGTACTGCTGGGTGGATAACAAGAGGCGGGGGGGCGGGTGGGCAGGGTGGGTGGTGGGGATGGGGCATGATTACGAAAACATGCACGATTGTTTCGACTGCTGCGCCGGGAGATCAAACCAAAACTGGCAGACCAGTGAGATTGCAAGTCCAGCGGCGCTAATCATTACACCGTGGCAGCACGTGATCGGTAGTGCACGGTACAGCGTGCGCGGTTGCGAAACACAAGCGAGAGAATGATTACGAAGGTCCCTTGACGGCAACAACAAGAGCCGAGAGTCGCAAATTATCCGTCACGCAACTGTGAGCGAGAAGAGAGAAAAATTTTAATTTAAGAATTCGGCGCCAAGGGAACGGGACGGACCGAGGAAGGTCGGTTCAGCCGGGGATGAAAGGAAAGAGGATGGCGCCTCGCAGGCAATCGTCTCCACCCATTCACTTTTCGCCGACCAAATTTTGTAAAACCATATTCGATCACTTTATATTTGCACGTGAAGAGATATTCAGATGAAAAAGTGCACGCAGGCTCAATGCTGCCAGCATGCATTGTCCCATCATATGAAATCACCAAAGTGCATTATGGAAAATCTATCGTGAATAATGTAACATTCGGATGTCAAATTCAATCAACTGGGTGTCTGGAAAGCATAGTTGTAAAATATATATTTTGATCACAGCTAAAGATCTGACAGCACGAGCTGAAATGCAAAATGCCGAGAAAGAATGCACGCTCGACTGAGAATGGTGGGGTTAGAGACAGTGGGGTTAGAGATGGTGAGCTTCTTGAACCAAGCCGGGTTTTACGCAGTGGTAAAAACTGAGAGGGCAGTGGCAAGATGTTAACTACCTCGCCCGGTACGCAGAAGATTGTGGGGTTCAATCGCGACCTTGACGCCGGTATATTTGGAGTTTGCATGTTCTACCGTGGTAGCGTGGATTTTTTTCTGGGTCCTCTGGTTTTTCCCTCCATATTTAAAATCAACATGCTTCTTGGAGTATTTGGCTGCTATAAATGTCCACGTGATGAACCACTTCGTAGAGCTTTCATTTGTGGCCAGGAGACTTCTGAAAGAGCTATATAGCTCAGTGGGATTTACCTGGAAAAATAAAAAAAATAGTTTAAAAATAGACTAATTTTAAAAAGCCCAGCGGTCACACCACACTTGTCACCTATCCATATTGACGGTCAAAATCCCAACTGAGCCCCTTCCTCAGGCTTTGTGTGCGGGTGTACCAGAGCATGCCACACCTTCCAGAAAGCAGGCATTAAAAAAAAGAGCCTCCGATGAAGTCCTGTATGACGACAGTCGGGCATGATGTCTCTAACATGCATAAGTTCTCTAATCCCTGCGATTGCTCTTTTTGTCTTGCAGTGTTTTCCCAAGCGACGTGGACTCCAGCTCGGGTAGGACAACGCCAGAGAAAGGGACAAGACAATGGCCAAGACTCACGATGGAGCGACAAGCCAAAGGAAGAAACGTGCTCGGGAGGGCGTCCATCACGGATGTGGAGCGGTGAAAGTCAGCTTGCGTGTGTGTGTGTGCGTGCGTGCGGTGCCAGGCGGATCGTTACATCGCAGCAACTTGAGAAAACGGGAATGGCTTGTGGAGGGCCTTCATCCGACAGTAGATTTGATCGTGGTCGAAGGAAACAGTCGCTCTCAATAAAAAAAATGAGGTCGTCATGGCGCGGGTGCCCTTTGCCAGCTTTCTGGAGAATTTCAAACGCGCCGTTGACAACGGACTGGTGTAACCATGGTGAATCGGATACCCGTTTCCAAAAAGGTTATGAATTTCAATGGGCTAAAGCCTTGTTAAGTGGCATTTATAAAAAAAAAATCTGGATTGTTTTTTTTTGTTATCCATCAGATGTCAGATCAGGTTATAATAGATTCCACTGTAATTCTTTAGGCAGGGGGAGCACCCAACCCTTCAAGGAAATACACCTCCTCGACAGCCGCCTTTCAAGTGCAAAGGTGGGTTAAACGCGTCGCATTGAATGTGTTGCAGTTTTCAGGGAGAAGAAAAAAACGAAATAAATCAGAAGAGCGTTACATCTTCATGGACAAAAAAAAAGGTCAAGCATTAATGGGCCATGATGCCGGAGAGGGAGTGTGGGCGGGCAGCGATGAGTGCGAAGGTGTTAAGAGTTCGCGATTAGCAACGGTAATTTTTCATAAAATTTACGGGCCACGTGCCAGGGGGAAAACCAATCCCCCCCCTCCCCCCCAAATAATCCACAGAAAGTGGGCCAGTGCCCACCGCATCTCGCAACGTACGCCGTTTTTGAAATAAAATAAACTAATTCCCGAATGCAATGTGTCGTTTGCTTTTGTGTTTATTCGCAATTTAGATATCGGTTAGAATTCCCGATTTCTGTGACCACCACGCAAAAATCCTAGCATTAGTGATTTGCGGACATAATAATTCACCCCAGCCCAGCCATTTAATCAATGGTAATGATTCTGCTCTGCCATTGATGATAATAACACCACCAATTACACTGTGCAGGATCTTCTCAAAAATACGCAGGAGTTTTCATTACGTTTCCTAAAATAATACACGTACAACTGGAATTAGAGTTTACAAACACCAACGAGTGAGCGCGGCATCCGCGCTCACACATAAAGACGTGTTCACATGATCTAAAACTCCAAAACGTCTTTTGGCAGCTAAAGTATCAAGTTGTGTGCATGTATTATTTTAGGAAACAATGTGATGAACATTCGGGCATGTTTTTCTGAAGACCCTGTAATGTTTCAGCCATGGGAAGAACAACAGGGAGTACATTCAAACTCGAAAAAGAAAGGCCACCCAAGTTAAACATCAAACCTAGGTCCTTTGTCCTGTAAGGCCACGAGTGTTACCGCTGCATCACCCTACCATCTCCACTGCTCACGACCGATGATGATGCTGGTGGTGGTGCTGTAAATAACGTGTTTGTATATGCATAGAATAGATGTTTATTTGACGAATCGATGCACCGCTGTTGCTCCGAGTGATTCGTACAAGACAGGCGAGGAAAGTTCAAAGGTCGTGCCGGAGTGTGGCGAGCGTGGTTAGCGTGGCGACGGTGGCGGCGATAAGCGACGCTTACTTGTTCTGGGAGGAGCAGGGCCGCGTCAGGTACTGGCACATGGGCAGCAGCAGGAACGCAAACGCGATGGTCGCGAGCACTGCAGAGGGACGCCGGCCAACAGTGGGGGCACACACACAAAAAAACACACACAAAGACACGTGCCGTTTAGACAGACGGGGACGTGCGGAGGGGGGGCCCAACCGAACGAGTTGGCGGACCCTGCGGCGCAGTCCGCGAGGCACGTGCGCGCCACCGCTCGCCACACACGCACGCGCGAGTTTTTGTTGTCGTTTCCGATCGACTTCCTTCATTGCTGTACTTAACCTCGTTTGGTTTTTGCCTTCCGTCGTTTCGGTGACCCAGGCGAGCCTTGCAAAACGAGACCCATCGCGGATCTCCTTTTGAGCTCTCGCCGCGGTCACACGACATCAAGCGTGACCTTGAATCGGACGTCTAAGACCGCCACTCGGCGAGAGGGCGGCAGGGCAGGCGCGCGGGGGGGGGGGGGGGGGGGGGGGGTTTGAGCCGCAAAACACCGCGGGGGCCGTCGGCAGCTCGCGAGTTTAGCGAAGCCGTGAGCGGAGGGTGGCTTCCTCGCCTGTCGCACGGACGAGACGTGCGTCCCCGAGCAGGTGGGAGGATTAGCCCCGAGCGGCGTAATCTCCATCTCGCTCGGGCAATGGTCGAGGAAGAGCCCCGGGGATTATTAATTACGCTCGCGGTCACGCGAGCGGCGGCGAGGGGGACTCGGGCTTCGGCGAAAGGCAGCGGAGGGCACACGCTGGTTGTGTTTACGTAAGAAAAACACGATTAACGCTTACACAGGCACCCCTTTATTACCACTTTCCCTGTTTACTTTGTAGAAAAAAAAGAGTCGGATATATGTTTTACCGCTTCAGTCGTGTTTTTTATTGCACTGTGGTTAAGGCTGCTTGGCTTGTAATCACAATGTTACGGGTTAAACCCCTGTTGGGAGAGAGAGGGATGGGGAAGGGAGGAAGTTGACCCAGCTCATCAGTGTATTGGGGTCAATAAAGGCAGTACCGCTTTGTAGGAAGTGAACGTAATTTTTTTTTATTCTACGTGACTCTACCGAAAGACCCAAAGAATATAAAGTTAACGGTAGTCCGTCTTACAAAGAGAATGACCCCTGCCCTGGGGAAATGGGAAATTAACGACGACTGGCTTAGGAGCGCCGACGAAGGTGAAGACGCCAATATGTTTTCCAATTAACTTTATTCATGGCGCAAACATTGTGAGTTGGTGACGATTCTGTTTAAACCAGGTGAGAACCCGTGTCTGGGTGAACTGGTAAAAACAGCTGTGCCCACGTTCAACGCATCTCGACACCACCTGGAGGAGGTGCAGTTATTCAACATGCATCTGTTCGTTGAGCTCAAAGCCAGCACTGCCATTAAAAACAAGCTGGCGAGCAGGTCCATTAAGGGAGGGGGGGGGGGGCCTCAATGCGGCAAGGGGATTTGACTGCACTCACAAGACAGGCGTTTGTGCGAAAACACACAGACATACGCACAACCGCACGCACGCATTTCGCACACTTGCTTAAAATAAATTAGGTAAAATGCGCAGCCCTGCAATTTCCTCCATCGGTCGGCTGTCTTGGCACCGAGTACTTCGCCAATGAAGAATCGAGCGAATGAGCGAGCGAGCGAGCGAGCGAGCGAGGAGCTGGCAGACACCTTCGTCTTACCCGCGGTGCAGATGGTGAAGACGACCTGCACCGAGTCGAAGAAGAAGAACATGACGAGCAGCGACACGGACGCGCCGATGGGCAGGAAGAGCGCCTGCGTCGAGTCTATTGTCTGGATGCCTGCAGACGGGGGGGAGGGGGGGGCAATAGTGGGGGGCACAGTGGGGGAAGGCGATGGTGGGTGGAGGGGGAGAGCACAGCGGAAGGAGAGAGATGGACATGGAAGACGTTAGCGGCGTAGCATGGCTGACTACCAGGATCCTATCATCATCATTATCATTATCCACGAAAATGACAATACAGCTGCTTTGGCTGCTGTGACTTGTGTCAGCGGATATGGCGAGTGCATGGGCGTAGCGAGTCTGGAAAGGGCCCAGGTGTATTTAATTAAATGGGCGCCCCCCCCCCACACCTCACCGCCCACTACCCCGACCCCCCCCCCCCCTCCTTTCTCTCCTTAGCCCAGTGCGCCTGGGCCCCTTCGGACCGCGGGGGCCCTGGTGCAATTGCACCGCCTACACACTCGATAGCTACGCCACTGACGGGGCACGAATGCGCTGTCATCGCAAGGCGCGCGCTGCAAAAGCAGGATGATGGGGAGACTTGCCGACTCTGTAAAAAATCCCCGCGGGAAATCTACCCGGCGAAGCTGTAAGCTTTGTGAAGTCGCTCTTATCTGGATGGCGGCAAGTAATCACAGGAGGGAATGGTCCGAGTTGACTGCTAAGGGCGCGAGCACACAGCATGACGAAGAACAAACTGCAACTCACCGCCTGAATTACTCACGCACTGCCTCGTGACGGGGAAGACAAAAAAAACTGGGAATAAAGTTGGCTAATGTTTCACATCATGGCCAAATCCTTCGGCAGCAGCGTAGGGAGGAACACTGACTCCATCGATAGAGTTGCCGAGACCGATTCTTTTGGTCCAAAGCAGCATCAATAATGATGGAAACATTGGCGAGGCCGTTTTTTGTTGTTGTTGTTGTTGTCTTGTGCCATCGCATTAGGGTCCAAGCCGAAACTGCTCTAATTCATTTTTCCGAATAATTAATAGGTTTTTTTTTATTTTTGAAATGTCTTCATTGTAGTGTCTTACATTTGCACGGAGCCAAACACCGACCAAGATTATGTGCGTCGGTGGGCAGGCAGTTCCTGTCCCATTATTTTTTACCCAGTAAACCCACCACCTGCGCAGAAAATAATAACCGGCCATTTGGCTTTGGTTCATCAGCTGTTGTGCATCGTGACTTCGCGTCTCATATCACGTAGTGGAATGGATATCCTCTGACTTCACTCTGTATCATTTAAGGGTCTGTCTCACAGCTGTTCAGTTAAGTTACCAGCCATGTAACCAATGAACCCCCCTCCCTCCCTCACACCCAGTCATTGCAGTGGTCCCTTGGTTTACGATGTCATCGATTAACGATATTTCGACTAACCATCCGCCCTCCCATGGGGTCCCATTGTTTCTACGAGCGATACATTTCAGATTAACGATACGTTTACGATATCACGCGGACTCGCCAATTTCGGCCAATCGGCAGCGCTCCTAAGTAGACTAGACAGCAGACCTCAGCCAATCAGCGACGCCCTTTTATGAGCGTTTTGAGAGCAACTGGCTACTAAGATTTTCAGTGTTTAATGTGCGTTGCTTATCGAAACAGCTCTCTTGAATAAGTAATGTTTTTTTAACACTAAGTATTCACCCCTGAATATCCAGAGGTTCTCATGGGAGGAGACTCCTTCCAAAATTTTATTTTCTCCCACCCCAACTTCTCCATCAACCCCTCAAGCCACCCATCTTCTGAGTCTAAGGTAATAATTTTTTATTGTGTTCTATTTATGCACCTTTTCACGCTCTATTATTAATTCTTTATCCACTTTTCTATTCTTATTAATGCTTTAATATGTTATTTTCAGGTTCATTTTTTAAATTGCGTGTTTAAATATTATAAATTATGTTTTTAGGGTGAAAAGGGTCAGCTTTATGATCGTCTTGGAACAAATTAAGCCTTTAACATGTATTTCCTATATTCAATCAACAATAATTAAATTAAGGATGGTTGTCATGGAACCAATTAATATTGTTAACCAAGGGACCACTTTATATGAATTGTCAGGATTCACGAATTGCGGTTCGGTACATTACTCGATTCTATTTCGGGCCTTGTCTGTAACGCAAGTCCCGTGTGGCGTCTCTCATTAGTTGCATCATCCTAAAAACGTAACATTTCCAAGTGACTAACGTGCATACACAGTAAATAAGTAAAATTTTGATTTAAAGCTTTCGTGACTGCAGTAATTCATATTCTTAGTTCTTTCGGTAAAGTCACGTTGTTGTTTCCCCTTCAACGTGACTTTACCGAAAGAACTAAGAACATGAAATAGTAAATAAGCTATTCTTATTTGCGCGATTCAACGCGACGATTACAACGGTTGGCTACGTACTGTGCGAAGGAAGTTCAACATGCAGACGTACGCACTGCGCCGAAATTCCGAAATCGAACAAATTAGAAAAAAAAAACCACCGACGTTTGCCGAACGGCAAAAAAAGCACCGACCGCGTGAGAATCGCTCGCTTATCGCGGTGGAAGGGTGACGCGGGCTAACCGCGGCGGCCACGAGGTGGCACGTGCGAGTCCGTCCCGCGACGATGTCACCGCTAATCTTTTCGGCTTGTTCGTGAATTAGAACCGCTGGGTGACAATGCAGCGGGCGGCAGCGCAAAATTCAAAACGCCGGCGTTAATTAAAAACACGCACGGCGCAAAAGACGGGGAGAAAGAGCGAAACCCGTTTCATCACAGACGGAACGAAACGTGATCTTTTTTTTTCTTCTTCTTACTACTATTTTTGGGAAATGTATTCAACCGCGCTTTAAAAAAGACACACACCGCGAATCAAATTGACAACGTCGACGAAAAGAAAGTTGAGAAAGCATTCACAGGATGTCACGTTATTTGAGAGGGGAAGTACCTTGGCAGAGGGTGCGGGGCACACCGTCGCCGCCGCAAAAAACTCTCTCCGCGTCCACGTTCCGTGACCCTCACGGGAATTGCTAACTGTTGCGATGAACTAAGTGACCGGTGGACGGCAGCATGGATGGAGAGACTATTTTGGAGGTGAGAAATCCGGCCGCTGAAGGAGACGTGGGGCAGAGCGCGTGAGTGCTTGTGCGGCGTGCGAGTGACCGAGCGAGCGAAGGGCGGCGAGTAAATTGAGTGAGAGAAGGTGAGAAACGAGCGAGCAGACCCGGGTCACACATTCTTTGTTTATGGACACCATGTGATGCTTGCAAAATCAGGAAACGCGCTCAGCCCTTTCACTGGTCGACTCAAGCTCTCGTAAACTCTTCATTTTGCCCTTATAACCCAAGGGCAATACTTGACCGTTCATCCCGCAAAGTGGCGATGCCAGCAGAGAAAGCGACTCGCGATTCAAAGGTTCGGGGTTCAAGTGCCGCTTGGGTGTCTTACTCGGGCCACCCCATCACCCTTCGTGCAACACGTTTGTCAATCCACTGCTGGATGAAAGCCTCGCCATGCCGTATCGGTCGTTAGAACATGCTGGGCAGTGGGTTAATGGTGAATGGGGGGTAGTGGGGGGAAGAGGTGGAAGGCCAGACCGATTCTGATAGCATTCTGCTACTGATGTTAGCCGTGGTTGAGATCAAAACTCAGGTAGCCGGGGTTTTTTTTTTTTGCGGAGTGTGCTACCACTTGCGCCAACGGCTAGGCTACGTATGGTGCGAAAGAAGTTCAACACATACGCACACCATCTGCTTGTCCCGGAATGACTCGATATCACACGTAGCAAAGACAAACAAACTAAAAGGCAGCTCTCACGAGGAGCTATTTTTACCTGCCTCTGCCCCATTCCCCTGCGCAACCGCTCGTCCGGCGTGGCGCAGCGTTTACGTTCCGTGCGAACGCCAATAATAAAACGGCACCACTCGCACCACTGGACCGCTGGGGCCGCGGGTCACGACGCGTGCGCATGAACCACGCAGCCACAAGGGGCGGGGGGGTTAACCACGACGGCCTCCCTGCCGTGGTTGACAGGAGGACCCCGCACCAGCAGCTCGTCCGTGGCACGGCATTTTTTTCGGTTGCTCGCATTTGCTCGCGGCTGCACGCTGATGCACGCGGTTGCACGCAGTTGGTCGTGGTTGTTCCCAGTGTGTACGCGCGACGTGGCATGTTTTGCGCGAAGCATACGCTGCGTACTGTTGTTGGTGCTCGAAGCCCCCGTGCAGTTGGGTGAGTGACTGCCACCCTCCTTGTCCTTCTCTCCGGGGCCCGGCTCATCCATGTTTAGGGACCTGTCGGTGGAGAGGTGGCGGCACGGGAGACAGTGACACAGACGCCCCATTAACAAATGCAAATGCTCAGGCTTAAGCAGATGCAGCAGCGAAGTGTGATGGATGAGCGGGGCTGTCAAAGCAATGAGCAGGCAGTGTTGAGATTCAGGTCGAGTCTGGACTTCAGCCGCCTGTGATTACACCGAGCGCTCAAGTTGAGCGAGTTGATTGTCGCAGGTCCATCGCCCCGACTTCTGGCACAGATGCTCTGCTTACAGAGAGTCGTATGCACAAGCTGACGTTTAAACAAAGAGTCGTATGCACAAGCTGACGTTTAAACAAACTTGCAATGATGTGGCGGCACGGCACAGGTGTCAGAGCTGTGAGTCAGCACGGGTGAGATCGTGGGATAGAATCCTTGAGTTTCAGGCGCACTGTGATTATACCAGGTGATGAAATGCAGCAAGTTGATAGCCTCGGCTCCATCACCTAGTGACTGCTGTATTAACATCTGTATCAACAGCAGCAGAGCTGTTGTGAGTGCGCAAATGTACGCCTTGTCTTATGAACATGATGTACACCAAATGGAAAAATGAAACGAAATAATCTAGATTAAATTTTTCCAGGTAAGGCCCACTTGATTTATATAGCTTATTTTCAGAAGTGACCTGGCCCACAAATGATAGCACAACGAAGTGGCTCATCACGTGAAAATGTACAGCAACCAAATACTTTAAATGCATGTTTATAAATGTGGAGATGAGAAAAATCCACGCGATCATGGGGAGAACATGCAAAACTCCAAATGTGCAGGTGACAGGTTTGGGATCGAACCCACGGCCTCTTCCATACCAAGCAAGGAAGATAACATCTCGTCACCTTGGCATCCCATGTTGGGGACGAGACCCAACAAAACTCATGTACATAGAACATGCATTAACACAACAACAAAGGAGTTTAAATGGTGTATAGTGTAAAAATATCTTGCCAGGGCCAAGTATAGCCAGACCCCCTCCATACATTCAGGTCAAGAGTAAATATGTTCAAAAGACTTGTCTCCCCCCCTCCCCCTGATCCCCCATCCCCCCGAGCCCTCCCCCTCCAACCCACGCCTCCTCCCCCCTCCCTCCCCCACCTGTGCCTTCTAATCTCCACCAGTTCTGGGTTGAACCGAACAAAGCGTATTTAACGTTGAGAATTAAGGGTCATAGCCACGCACACCATCGGTAACATCGCGTTCCGTCCATCTGACAGGGGCTGACGGATGCAACTACAAAACCTCAAAGAGTGGAACCACTGGGACTGCAAGCGTACACGGGGCGGACGGTGGGGTGTGCGCAAACAGATTTGCGCACACAAACAGAGAGAGAGAGAGCATAGGGCTCACTGTGAACCAGTTCACCTGCTTCGCACAATGGCTGGCAAAGGGGGACAACACAAATAAATCTCCCGAGAGGTGGCCGCAAATGTTAGTTAGCGGGGCAAAACGTTCTCGAAGACATACATGAACTAAGATCTACGTTGGTGGGGAGGTGGGTGGGAGGGACAAGAGGTGGGCAGGTGGTTCAGAGGTTAGAACGCTGCAGAGCTGGCATCGCCAAAATCCTGGGTTCGAATCCAGGTTTCATCGGCCTCTCGATTACAAACGAGTTCTCAAGTGCAGTGAGTTGACGGTCTTGGCCAGGTCACCAATGACCGCACCAAAGAAAAAAAACTAAATTTGGCAATGCACTGAATTCAACTAAAAGTCCAGATGCGAGAAGAAATCATGAGTTTGATGGTCATGCGACGAACATTTCCCGCAACTCCGATTAGCACGGTTGACTCTGTACGGTGCGGAAGAGGTTCAACGTACCATACATGACGACAACACATGACGAACAACACATGGCACAACCCGAAAACGCACGGGGGAGCCAAGAAAACTCTGGGTAATAGCGTGCATGTTAAAAAAAAAACCCACGTAAATAATTGCGTCTAAATATTTCCCAATAAAAAGTAGAAGGATTTTTTTTTCCGACACAAGCATGGCCTTCATTCCCGAGCGAATGAGTATCACCCGCTCCGACAGAAAAGCATTTCGCATGGATCTCGGTGAACAGGAGGTTTAAACGGTTTCCATTATGCGGCAGACAGCAGGTAAAGGCATTAGTGCCCTTTGATGCCAATGGATCCCCTGTGTGGCGGTCAGCTGGGACGGTACGGACAGGCCCTTGTCCGCGGTCGCACGCACAAACAGGGGCAGTCACCAATGCACACAAATCATAATTGCTCACACACGTACACATACGCACAACAACAGCCACCATTCGCCACTGGGCGACGGAGATGTCACCCCACAGCGATTGTGCCAGGCTAGGGGTGCTTTTGCGACCACGTGAGAGGTGTACAAATTTTACTGGCAGGCTACGCAGACAGAGCCAGGTGTTTTAAGTTAACGGAGATGAGTGAACCACCTGTACTCCCCACTGTGCCACACAAAGGCAAAGATCCCACGTAAAGCCTTCCCAGACTCTTTAGGCAAGTGCTGCTAGCGAGCACCTTTGAAGGCCGGTATGGCATACGAGGGAGTGGTGATATTCAAACGCTGTACCAGATACTCATTTAAGACACACGCACTTCTCAAATTTGCACCCGCACACACCCACATCCCACAAGCGAGGTTCCACATGGATGCACGCATACAAACAAACACACGCGCAGAAGCACACAGGCGTGCGCGCACATGCCCCCACACACATGTGCACGCACACACGGCCTATTGTGCTGGAGCCCTTTTGATTAATGCCACGTTTTGGAAATTTAAAAAAGGCAGAAAAAACACAAAAACGCACCATTGGAACAGAAGAGGGTTGGCTCTCAACATTATAGCTGCTGGTGATGATTAGAGGCGCACACACGACCCCCACCCCCCCCACCAGGAAACTAGATGCTATTACAAGCTGTGAATAGAAAGGTTTATGTAAACCCAGGAAACTAGATGCTATTATAAGCCATGAATTGAAAGGTTTATGTAAAGCAAGACTTTGCAGGACTGCACCTGCGTGTCAGTGCCGCCCGTGCAAAGTCAACGCGCGTGCGGTTCATGGCTTCATAAATTTAACTCAACGACGGGATTCATTGAGCAACGGAGGGGTCCCCGCACCGCCTGACCGGGCCGACTAACTCGGCTCGCTTGAATTTGAGCGGTGGAGGTGCGGGTGGGGGAGGGGTGTGAAAAATACAAAAGTAAAAAAGATCGGGGCACAGAAAATACTCTAGAGGTCGGAAAATGTTGTTCCCGTCCCAAAAACTCTCTCCGTGTCGGCGTTCCGTGAGCCTTTCGGAAATTGATAATTATATTCTTGGTTCTTTCGGTAAAGTCACGTTGAAGGGAAACAATAAAATAATAAAATATATAGAAAACATTTTTATTATTTTATTGTTTCCATTCAACGTGACTTTACCGAAAGAACCAAGAATATGAATCACTGCAGTCACGAAAGCTTTATATCAGAATTGATATTTGTTGAAATGAACTAAGTGGAAGGTGGGTGTTCGGCGGCATGGACGCAGAGAGATTTTTCGGGGTTGTAAATCCGGTCGTTTAAGGAGATGTGGGCAGAGCACACATGGGTGCCTGTGCAGCGTGTGTTTGTGTGCGAGCGAGCAAGCATGAGTGCACGCGTGAGCGAGCGAGGTGAGTGAGTAATTGCGTGAGAGAGCAAGCGAGAAGGTGATAAAATGAGTGAGATCAAAAACCTATTTTTGTTGTCTATGCCACCGTCCACTGGACACGAGCTCGCCTCAACGAGCAACCAGCGGACAGCAGCAAAGACTACGACGAAACGGCGAGCGCTTAAATCTCACCGGAAGCTCCCGTAGACGATGAGCAGGATGGAGATGAGGAAGGTGGACACCTGGCTGGAGTCCACCAACGAATATGCCCTGCGGAAACACACACACACATTGGTGTCGTCGTCAAAAGGAGCAATGCCAGAAACATTACGACGAGCAAATTCATTGATTCGGAATACGACCTGCACAGTAGAGGGGGGGGGGGGGACGAGGAGGAGGAGGTGGGTTGCCCTCTGACAAGGATGGACCGAGAGCAATGATGCCTGCTGACGACGATCGTTACACTTAGGGTTCACGCATCACATCACGCACGTGTCAGGAGTTTACCAATTAAGCAAACGGGTAGGTGCGGGGGGGTGGGGGGAGGGCATTGTTACGTTAAGGCTAACGGTGCAAAAAAATCTGCACAAACCAAGCAGATGATAATGACAAGACACAATAAAAATCGATATGGCGCTGAATTCAACTAAAATACCATCGGCTTAAGATCACGGACCACCCCCCCCCTTCCTCGAATCGCATCAACGGAGGTGGAGAATCGTCGCAAGCATTTAACAAACAAAAAAACATCGCACAATAACAACCGCAAAGTGACGAGAAACTAATCCGGCGATCATCGAAAAAAAAATAGCGGCGGACTCTACTAGTTTACCAGCCCGTTGTTTGCACACTTACAGCTGCCCCCTCCAACCCCAGTAAATCCGCAGTGAGTGTTAACGCTTTTTTGTTCACTTAATTAAGATAAACTAAAGCTGTAGCAAGCAGATCCTGATTACATCCCTGTAACGCAGAACTTTACCAAACAAGACTCCAATCTCTTGTTGTTATTTAAGGCACCCAGAGCAGCACACGGCGAACTCATCGGCCTTATTTTAACCAGGTGAAGTCTAATCGTGTCATCTTGTTATAGTACAATGAATGGAGTATGATGATGGTGGGAGTGGGGTGGTAGAGGGTTTAAAAATTACTCCACGGGCATACAATTCTCTAATTTTGGAATTGGCCCAGGGCAGCCCGGATACACTGGTCTACTCTTGAAAATTACTTCGCAGAGCCCTTGAGTTAAGCCAGTCAGCAGCCAGTCCATTGAGATAATGCTTTTCTTTTTATATAGGAGAGGCCTGGGGAGCTATAAATATAGGGGTCAAGGCCACCTTTTTCTAATGCAGGAAGTAAAATCCCCTCCCAAATTATAATCCATTTGTCCGAACAGCTTCGGTAGGCTTACACCCCAGAAGAGAATTGGCCACGGCTGACAACATCGAAGATGAAGATTACTCCATTTGCGTATTTCGGCGTTATTTCTTTCCCGAGATGAAAAAAATATATACTTTTGCCATTCTTGCAGCAAGCCGTGTCAACAATCGCCCTGGAAGAGGACATTGTTGAACTACTTCTTGTGGTTTATTTTTGGTGCAGCAGTTGGCAAGTGGCTTGAGACCGTCGATTCACTCCGCCTAAGAGCAGAGCCGACTCAACGAGGCATCTGAAAGAACCTGGATTCGAACCTAGGATCTCAGGAGCGCGGGCTCATTGCTCCCGACGCAATATTTCGCGCCCCAGAAGCCACCTCTCACACAACGCATTTATCCGGCAACAAAACGAAAAAAAGAACGGCGGAATAAATAATGAGCACATCAGAATTGCAACAGGGTGCCACTCGGGGCTTAGCGCCACTCTCCACCCCCCCCCCCCACATGCCGCCAAACCGCAGCACACTGCACGGATGTGGCAGCTGCAACTCAGGTGGCAGCGCAGGGGTTAGAGGTGAGGGATGGCGAAGGTCGCCACCGCCAGGCTCGCGGTTCGACTGGGGCCACCAAAATCGTTAAATCGTTCCCATCGCCGCGGCCCAAACGCGACGTCAGCGAAAGGTATCCAATTCATCACCCGCGCTTCTGAAGGGTTCTCAATGCGCAGGCATCTAACATGCCTTCACAACCCTTCACCCATCCCCAAATCCATATCACCCACCCCTCCCCACTGCCCCCACCCCCCCCCCCGACAAGAATCTTGAATGTGCATCTCCAGCTATGGCAGCGAAAAGTTAACTCCTTTCATATACCAACGACGTAGCGCTCCCCACGACCTGATGACTTGTCACAAATTCGGGGGGGGGGGGGGTGGTGGAGGGGGCAAGGGGGGGGGGGATCAACGATTCGATTACGTCCGAAAACAACTTTCCGAGGTAGAAGCCCGCAAAGGACAGAAGCCACGGCGAGAAGGGTGGAGTGGGGAAAACCCATCAATCACCCACACAGCGGCGCCATCGGTCGCACGCACGCGGCCGAGAAGGAAGAGCCCCGCGTGGTGCCAACTCATCCCTCTGTGAAAACAGCCCAGTGAGAATGAGGGGGGAGGTGGAGGGCTTTGTGTTAGGCAGGGCCCTGCGGCATCATCACACCTTGCCTCTGTCACAACCGGAGTGGTGGTGGGGGGGGGGGTTACCGTCGTCTTGGCAGGTTTACCTGCTGCATCGCTGCGACGACATCCACAGTGGACATGTCAGAGATCACTGCAGAGTGTTTAGCGGTTGCGCCGTGGGTTGTGCCGCTTTGTTGTTGTAGTTGTTCGGCACGATGTCTAACGTTTCGCTGCACATGCCAGCGGAAGAGCCTTGATTCAATTCCCGAAGCTATAATATTCCTTCGTTGCCACTGACCACAACCTTTACTACGGGTCAATTAAGCTGTCTTTTCTGTTGACTGCTTGACGCGAGATATAAAAATAAGTATATAAACAGGGAAGAGCCCGTTGAGAGCAGTAGTGTTTTTTTTTCTTTCAAGGGAAGATCTGGGTCAAGATGTATTTATTGTAACAGCAAGTGGTCTAAGAGTGCAAACAATTCACAATTCAGAAAATAAAGAAACGATATGGGAACAATTAATTCAAATACGTAGATATATATGAAAACAAGTGTGAGCACAAGAACACAACGCTGAAGCAAAACAAATTACCGATTCAAAGCAACAGAATAGATTCAACAAACACTTGCGGGAAATACCCACGACAGAAAATATGATGATAAAATCGACGCACAAAAATGTAAGCGTGGGAGCATTTTATGGGGGGAACACTCGCCCAAGAGGATATGCTCCACGGAGATGTAGCACTGAAATCCGCTCGTGTGCAGGAGCCATGTGGATTGGTGCATCGCGAGAGACCGTGAGAAATGGCGATGGCCTGGGAAGGCTCCATCTGCGTACTCCGAAAAAGGGCCATTGCCCAAAACGTCGCCGACCGCGTAAGATTTTTCTCATAAGGCCACACAGCGCTATTGACGGACTTGTTGAGATTTTGTTGAGTTAATCGTGGAATGTGACACCGCTGCCAATGCAAGATCACCAAATAATTTGTTTAATTTTCATCCAGCAGTGGATCTATCCATCATGGCTGATGACGACAAAGGGCATTGTGACTTAACACAAAAAAAGGCGACAAGCCACGTGCTGTTTAGTAGTTCTGTCAAATTACGTAACATTAGAAATAAAACACACCCGCACAAGCACTTTATTATGGCATGATGATTTTTATCGGTTGCATCTTTTGATGCGTGCGTATATCTGCAAATGCGATTCAAAACGTTAGGCGACCAATGTTCTGCTCTCGGATTTGCAAAAACCGGTTCGTTTTCCTACTGTAGTACAGTATTTGCAAAGGGGATCCCCAATAGTTGTGGTGACAACATGCGGTTTTGTCTCCATTTCACATCTTCCCGTTTAGGAATTACCCAAGAGAGACGGTGGACAGACACACCGACAGATAGGCACACTGACGCAGAGACAGATACCAGGAGACAAACACCAACAGATACACAAATACAGCCAAACAGACTGTTGGGGCAAGTGCTTCTGGCGAGCATCTATGGAGGCCGGCACGGCACACCTATGGCAATGTTTACACATCGTACCAGGTGCTCATTTGAGATTGAGGCGTCCTAAATGAGGCCCAGGACAAGGTCAGATAAATCGCCACTGATGTTGGCCTTGAGCGGGAATTGAAACTCGGGTGGCTGGGTTCGTAGTGCGCCGCGCCGTCTTTCCACCCACCCACAGGTACGCACTCACAGAGATAGACACAAGCAGATGGGCAGCGTCGCAATCGGCCAATCAAGCAAGAGGGCAGCCTCAATGAGTCACAGTAAACCATGCCGTGAGAGCCTCGCGTGTCCTTTGCCCCACCAGCACCTCCACCACACCCGTGCTCCGCTTTACGTAATCGGACGGGCCGTGTCAGGTTCTTTGGACCACGGGTCACAAATCCACGTATCGTAGGGCGATGCATCTCGCCCATCAATGCCGTGTCCTTGCACGAACCATTGTGCGGCCATCCCAAAACGTTTGCTCAATCAAAACCAATTCCGCGCATTGCTGTAATGGTGCGCACGGCAGGTGTCACTGTGCTTGATTTATGGACCCTGCTTACGTACGCTCTGACGAGTCCAAGTCAAGAATAGGAATGCATTCATTATAACGATACTTCGATTCGTCGATTCAAGAGCGGCTGTTATGCCCACCACGCATGTATCAACCGTGCGCCCACTGGCAAACAAACCGAGCGTCGAGTTTGGCAAGTTCGGCAGTGTGGCGGCGCGGTGGTGGTAACACTGGTGTCTCACCGCACCAAGGGCCTGGGTTCAAATCCCAACTCGTGTCATTCTGTGTGGAGTTTGCATGTTCCCCCTCCCTGTTTTGCGTGGGCTTCCAATGTGTTCTCCGGTTTCCTCCCATCGTTAAAAAAAAAGTTAAAACACAAACTCACACACACATTACGAAAATGGTATTGGCCAAACATTTCAATGTTTAAAGGTTACCTGAGGTTTTCCTGGGTAAACATGCATACATAAAATAAGTTGCAGGTAATGTTGTCCATACGGTCCGCTGCAGCCACTAGTGGTGCTACATTCACCACAGTGTTGACAAAAAATAATATTAGATTGACTTGAGACCACTAAAACGTGAAACATTATCAAATTACAAAGTCCAACTTCAAGCGAAGGGATAATGGAAATCGAATGGGCCGAGTGTTGATATAAACCTTGGATCATTCTTATCCTCTCTCCACGTGTTATATCCTCTTGTAATGCATTT